AATCGATACATGAACGAACGTGCTTCACAGCGAATATGCACGCAAGCAACAGCTGCTGTCGAACAGATCTGTTCACCAGCAGCAAATATATATGCAGCAGCTTCAATGCTCTGAATTTAATCGATCCAATTTTTTTTTTTCATATATTTCTGTATTTTTTTCTCTCCCTTACGTTTATGTTTTGTTCTCTCATGATTGATATCAATTGATACCACTGATTAAACATCTTTCGCATCGACATCTAAATTAGATGGATCAATACGTCCGGCAAAAGGATGGCGTGCTGAGCACAAAGCGGCCCGCACCTTAGGCATCATAATGGGTGTATTTTTGTTGTGTTGGCTTCCGTTTTTCCTCTGGTGAGTATCCGATTTATCTCTAGAATAAGAAAAAAAAAAGAGAAGTAAATAGCAATTTCTCTAGAAATATCCGTCGAATTAATTGATTCAAATTGAGCTTGAAAGTGCATTCATTGACCGAATATTTCAACGCCACGGCCAATTTCATTGGGAACAATCGAGACAGTCAATCGATTGGTATAATGACTGCAATTTTTGCATTTCGTATTGGGATTGGATTTCATCGCTTTCCATCTGTATGCTACGAAAAAAACACACAGATATACAGATTAAGAGAGAGTGGATCGAGCAAAAGAAAAAGACCCGAATCGAACCAAAGAAGCAAGAATAATTGCAGTTGCTCAAGATTTATTATCGCACATAAAAATACACATAACGCTTCGAGTGTATGGCATTCGCTTTGGCCGAAATATTGGGGCGAACGCGAGACAGGCGACCAAAATCTATTAAATCGAACACTTTATTCATTGACATAAAACTCGAATCAATATTGTTTGTTTGTGTGTTTTGTGACTTTTCAGATCTTCATATATTTTTGCACAGTGCTTACATTTTGCATTTGGTGCGTGCATAGGAATTTTCCCGCTCTCTCTTTCTTTTTCCTTCTTTTTGTGCTTTTTAATGGCCAAAGAAAAATTATTAGGGTATTCCATTTTGAGTATGTATTCTTTCAAGCTCTTTGCTTGCGCCACTTAATTGCCTATGCAGACTGCCTCTAATTAAATATCCCGTAATTTATTTTCATGTGTATTTATTTGGCCTTGGAGGAAGCATCTCATCACTCTTTCTTATTGTTCGTTCAAATGCTACGGCTTCTTTATGGTGTATGTGTGTGAGCAAAGTGGCGCGGCTATTTAGTGGCCAATATTGAAATCCCAAATCAATATCATTTAGAACTGTTCATACAAACAATGCGGCATCCTTTCGCCCAACAGAACAATGGTTTCATCACCTCAATTTAGATGTCGTTAAAAAGTAATTCCCTGTGAAATGCTGACCAAAAACAATTTCCTAAATCGTTTGAACGATAAGTAAATTAAGTGACACTAATTGCGGTTTAACCAGTACACATTTCAAAAGTGTTGATGCGTTATCAACGTTGTCCGTTGTCTATTTTAAGATCAAAGCCATCATACCGAATCTTCAAAATGAATGCAACTTTTTCTTTGCCCATGTCGTCTCTTACTTTTCACAACTTATTCATTTTGTTTCTCCCTCTCTGTTATTTAGGTATGTGACAACATCGTTGTGCGGCGAATACTGCCCTTGTTCTGATCTACTGGTGGCCATCCTATTTTGGATCGGATATTTTAATTCCATGCTAAATCCATTAATTTACGCTTACTTCAATCGAGATTTTCGTGATGCTTTCCGTAATACGTTGGAATGCGTGTTTTTAAACTGCTGCTGGGCCAAAAAGACACCGTATAACGCATACTATGTGTAATCTTTACCTCCGACGTCTACACAAGTTTTTTTTTTTTATTATATTTGTTCAACGCTGGAATTGCATTCTTAACCTATTTACAAATAAGTACGGTTAATGTTTCAGTATTCCTCGTTTGAGTATTCAGATGACATTGAAATAAGTAGGAAACAACCAAATGAAAGCAGAAACGTATTGAATGCGCTGCCTTTGTTCTGTAAAGAAATAATTTCAAATTTTCGTTCGAATCAATCACAAATTGTAATTTACAAATTTCACACAATTTAATCGGAACGTTGGCACAAATAAATGAAATCAGATTGGCGTGCAAGGTTCAGTGTTTTTATACTTTTTTGATATGGTGAGTTCCAATGATTTTGTAGATTAAAGAATATTCTTCTAAAAAAAAAAGTTCCACAAAAATGCTTTATGCTGAACAGTAGGCAAATTAAATAACAAGAAAAAAAAAACCAAAATAAATATGGTATATAAGATAAAAGAAGCAAACCAAAGATGTATTTACGAAGTGTTATTATCGATCATATCACTAAATAGAAATGCAAAGTGCAAAAGAAGTTTAAATCATATGATAAGCAGACATTAGTTGATAATAATAGCAATTACGTCTGCGTCTCCTTTTCGGTCTGTGAATAAAAACGTGTATTCCTATCAATGAGTAGTAGAGATGTGTTTACCTCAGCGTCAAACTCTTGTTACATAAAAAGTAGAAAAAAAATCATAGCATGCGAGCGAATCGTATGATATGCCGTCCGGCACATCGACTGGCTAAGGTCCCCATTCACAAACACAAACACAAAGCACAACCACTGTGCGTTGGAGCAGTGAATCTGAATATATACTTTTATTAAACTTAATGCAAAACAGTAAACTTCAAAATGCTTAGTAAAATATAATGCGTATAAATCGAACAAAAACAAACAAACATCATATTCTAACCATAAGAAATCAACTGGCGCTTTCCATTGAGACCACCGAACGAATTTCAAGATGAATCAAGAAAACTGTACGGCTAATGAGGTGAAAGCTATAATCAGTGTTTGCAGTGTGAACGTAATATATATACATATATGTATATACAGTGTTTTTTTTTTCTGAATGAAATTTACAACTCCAAACATTAGCGCGCTTCAAACCATTCAAAATGAAAAAAAAAAAACCAAATGAAATCAATCAGCGATACCAAAACTAAGCGTTTACTACAGGTTATATTGTATATTGAAAATTGTAAAAGAAATAGAGTAAAAAAAAAAACCAACGGCATGCATTTGATTTCAACGTGTCCACTCACGTATCTATCACCATTCCATTCTTGATTCTATTTTAAATCAGTTTCTTTGGGCATTAGGGATTTCTATTGTTTTAGAGAGAAAAGCTTCTTATTTTCTTCGACTCACTGTTTCGTTGCTATTTTTTTTTCTTTCCTTTTTTCTTTCTTTATGAAATGTACCTTACCTTATGTCATTTTGTTCTGCCATGGTTCCCAGTGGCAATGGGAATATAATTGAGTGTCCGCACAAAACCACGAAGAGTTCCAACTGTATTTTTATAGACATGTTAATCTCAATAAGAAACAAAATAAATCAAACATATAAAAAACACAAATATCTCTTCTATCGATGTACCTAAGGCAACGGAGAAAATAACAAGTAAATCAACTGATTTTTTAGTCAAGTTGAAATGATATAAAATATGTACTGATGACGAATGATACGCTATTCGCATGTAACTATGTCGTATTTGATGTATAAACTGTGTTATATAGAACTTACTGAACAAACAAACAAACAAACAAACAAAAAATTGTCATTAACATTAATAAAATGAATTGAGATAAAGAAAGAAAAAAATTTCATTTTATGGGGAAAAAGAATTGAATTCAAACTCGAGACCGAATTGATTAAACGGCCCAAAAAATAGCAATAATTTACATACACACTTGAATTAATATGAATATCGTAACGAAACAAAAAAAAAAAAAAAAAAACAGATGAATGTAAAGAAAAAGAAAGAACCACACATATACACTTACAAGCGATCGCGATGAACAAAAAATATGGTGTTGAATAACATCCAACCGGCATAAGTAAATCAGAATGATCAAATTAATAGTTTATTAAGTTAACTTATTGGAAAAGAAAAAAAATGACATTAAATAAATTGACAATGCCTTCGTTACAAAAACACACATGCACACAGCACGTATTTCACTATCCTTGGGAGCAATTAATGCAGCGAAAATGGAAAGAGGAATCTCTCATCCATTGAGTGTCATTTGATCAGCATTCATGGTCGCTCTCGTTCCCTTTATAGCATTTAACGAAAACTCTTACCGGGATGGTTATGGAAAGCATACTCGTATTCAACTGAATTGTTCGTCGTTTGTATCGAATCTTCACCACTGAACTACACTTGACCTTTTTGCGATATGATATTTTGTTTTTCGTTATTTTTTATTTTATCAACATTTTCTTTTAATAAATATTAACACGAAATTATTGTCAACAGAAAACATCTTTCTTCTATAACCATCGGGTTTTTTTTTTGCGCTATTAATATGGAATATGTTAATTATATGTTATCTTGTGACCAACTGTATTTACCACAAGACAAGAGAGACAGGAAAAAAAACAAAAGAAGAAAGAAAACATGTAAATTAGGTATTTGTCTCTGAATGACTTGAAAATAGCCAACGAGATGTTTCGTGTCTCTTTTCCGTCTATTTAGCATTTAAAATGTGTTGTTCTCTTCACAGCGCTTTGCATGTCCTAAATGATTTCGAGCACATTTTCCGGGGCTTTTGTGCTCCTGGGCTAAAAACTAAGCGATGGAATTTAGTGGGGAAAAAGTGTGTGAGTGTTAGTTTGTTTTTTCATTGTTGGAATTGTGAATTGAAATTCAAATAGAAAATTGATATTGGGATTGTCGTTGCCTTTTGCTTTGAGCAAACAATTTCGGTACGATTCACATAAGTGCTACCGTTGACAAACCACTAAAAGTTTTGCAAACGTCATATTAAACAACCATTCCGCATCTCTTTAATGGAATCAGGTTTGTTCAAATAAAGGGGCTCGATGAAAAAAAAAAAAAAAGAAAATGTTGATATTTGTGCTATTTTTGCTGGATATCGACATCTTGAATCTCATCAGAACCAAACACATACACATAAAGAGACAAAAATAAATAAAGAAAGAAAGAAAAAAAAATCGAAAGAGAAAATTCAACAGATATAATATAGGAGGTAAGTAACAGCAACGGAATGAAAAAGTGGAATAGAGATTGAAATGCTGATGCAAAAATGAAATAGAACCAAAGTATTCAATTCAATTTATATACACAATTCGAATATATAAACATACATTTTATCATTTTTCGAAGTTTCACTGTCCGCTACTAATCTATTTTCTTCTTACTCCTCTCTTATTTCTTCATATTAAACTAGCCGCACAAACACAAACACTGACACTTGAGCTATAATAATGTGAAGACATATCTGAATTGAATATGAGAATTGTGTTATTGATGTCTGCATATTTACTACGACATATATAAAAAAAAATGAATAAACAGAGAGAAAGCACGCTATAGAGAAAGAATAGTGGATGCTGTAGCCATTGTCACCGTCATCGTCATCATCATCATCATTGTCGTAGTAGTTGTTGTTGTTGTTCAATGTTGAGGACTTCATTTTTGTTGTTCATTTTATTATCGTTGTGTTTGGTTGAAAATTCTTCGTTTTCGGGCCGCTTCTACATTTGATATTTCCTTTGCCAATTGGGCGTAAGTAGATTTTTGGATGATGTTGTTGTTGATAAATATTTCGGATATATGACCCAGCAGATGAGAGGTGGTAAATATGCAATAGGCAAACAACAATAACAGCAGCAAAAATTTAAACGACCGAACTAAAAGATACTCGTATGTAAATGTGTTTGGGGTAGAGGCCGTTTTTCTCGGTTTTGTCAATTTCTTGCACAACTTTGCAACATATACACATTCACCCGCATAGTGTGAAACGGGATCGTTGAATATAAATGCTTATGGAAAATATCACACATGTTGCGATCTATCGAAGCTGCACTAAGCATTATCAGCGCAACAAACGCGCCCCTCCCGATTTAGAGAATTCCTTCGTCAAATGGATTTTTTATTCAATAAATTTTTGTTTTTTTTTTTTTTTTTTTCTTGTTGCCAAAGACCAAAAATGAAGAATTTTGCATTCTGTCTCGCTCGCTCTCTTTTAACGGTATGTGTGTATTTGTTTGATGCTATGAAAACCATTTGGGAATCGTGTAAGCAGCCTTGGTTGACACACAACACGCACATATCGGCATAATGTCGTTTAGTCTCTATGTAAGTATATACTATGCATATTAGTGGGCCGATTTTCCATACAAAATACATCGACCGAAAATATTCAAAACTCTTGTTAAATTTCCATAAAAAATCAAAGCTTTACATAAATGCCAACATGAATATAAAATGTATCATTTCATTATACTAGTGAACTGTTGGAGTGTTGAAACGAAGGAAAACGAACACACGAAAAAAAATGAAACAGCAGCAGAAGAAGTAACAACAACACTCAACTCACAGCTCACACTTTGAATCGAAGAAGCCAAGCAAGAAGAGAATGAGAAAGAGAGCAACAACAAAATCGCTTTATTCTGTTTTTTATGTGTTTGTATGCGAATTGACTTGTTTTTATGCTAAAGCTTTCTTTGAAAATATTTCGAAACTTTTTTTTTTCCATCAGCCATAGCATGCACAACAACAAAATGCAATATGAAAGAAGTTTTTTTTTCTATAAATTATTATGAAATTGTAGTCGAAGCCGTTTTCTCAGAACGGAATGAAAATGAGAAGAAAAAAAAAAATATTTAATTACATTTTCGTTGAGTAACACAGTATAAATATAAAAGAAAAAAGTGCATCATAAATATTGAATTTACATAATATTTAAATCAATTGGTTCAACATCGCGGTCGCAAAAGTGTTGCTAGAGCATCTGCGGGCGGTAAGGGAGTATCATTCAACTGACTGGTGAGCCGATGGAGGGATTGGAACATAGAAAAAAAAACAGTGTCGATTTGAAGTAGGCGCCTGAATGCGTGAGCGTGCTCGAAGGAAGCACGTAACATTAGTGTGTATTATACGCCTATTGGAAATGCACGAAAACGTCTGTTTGTCGCAACCAATTAATCAAATTATCGCCTGATTTTGAAAACAGAAAAGAAAACGAGCACTACAACAACATAACAAAAATATTCTCACGAAATCTTGGAACTAGTTTTAAATGGCGACAAGATGACAGACACGGCCAATGGCTTGAATCCCATTTTAGATTAGTATTATTTGCACATTTAATTGTCAACAAATTTCTTTACATAAATTTGATATATCATGTGCCTATGCGAAACAGGACAAACCACTTAAGTTACCATGTGGACTAGTATTCCAGCACACAACATTCTCTGGTGCATACATGTGACCAGATGAAAAACATCAATCATTATTCAATAAAGTGGAAACATTTGATTGGTATTTCAACGGGACATTTTCTCAAATTCAAATGAATCAAGTTGGGCAGCAACAGCAGCACTGTATCATTTATTTCGGTAATTTGATGACCAGCGGCGTTAATGAATGGATAGGATGCTTTTTTCTCTCTGTTCTTCTTGTTTATTTTCGTTTTGTTTAAATTAAGTCATTTAATCACATCGATTCATCATCGGATTTTGTCGCCATTGCGCCCACCTTTTTTGTCATAATCCATATAAAACACAAGCTGTCTTTGGAAAGTACCAACCGATCATTATTCACACTCCCAGTTCTGTTCACATTTTTGAACATTGAAAATCGACATTTTTCAAACATCGAGCTTCTTAGTGAAAGCCAATTAACGGAATTATTTTCTAAATGGGG